AACCTCGCCAAAATGAACCTGGAAATAGAATACTTCAAATCTTATCAAGTGCCTTCACATCGATATCTTGCACGTGGACTTACCTTTTTGTAAGTGTCACAACCAGGCATCTTCGATTTTTTGGAGTTAAGAGTTCTCTCACCCTGATTACAACCATCAGTTTTCAAGAGTTACTCGTACTGCGGCCAAGAGCTTTGAGTAAAACTGACGTGATATCTTAGATCACGTCGGAAAAGACGTATTAATTAGAGACTTGCCTTTATTTGCGAATTCAATTCGTGCTCAAATAAATGCAGTCTGAATCCCCTGTGAGGAAGAACAGACCTACTAATTTTGGGTTTTGAATAGCCCGTGGCCAAAGTTTTACACCAAAATTGTGCGCCTTTTATTAACTTGCAAAAATAATTTGGGAAAACGCCAGAGTTGCACCTTATCGGTGAGGGTCTTATTGATTTAGTAACGGAATTTTTTTCTACCATACTCTCAAGCATCAAGTGGTAGCTTGGGCTTCTGCGGCATCGCGGGGCATAGAGAAGAGGCCCGTTTGTGTCCTTGAAGAAAGATGCATACTGCAGATGCAGGTTGTTATGTTGGTTGTTATGGACCAAATCCAAATTGCACAACTATTTGGTGATAGCGTTCTGATGCACATGATTGTGTGGGGGCTGGGTGTGCAGTACCAACGGTTTTCCGGTGTCCTAAAAACCGCACTCCATTTGAGGAAGGTGTATAAATGAATACAGTGTGACTAGGGCCATACCCGGCCATTCATATGCAGCACATTTACTGTATCACACAGCTTGCGTTTGAAGTATATTTTATGTGATTCGCCGTAATCCTCAATGAATTAAACAAAGTGGAACTGATTGATAAGTCATTTTCTGGGAGGGTTTGTTTAACTATAGTCGGATTTTCAGCTGGGTAGAGGTTGACCTTTAGCAAAAGTAGTTTGTCAGGCCAAGTGAGCATGTTGCCAGTTTGGCAAGGTTTTAGAGCAAACAGAGAACCAATCGGAAATGCTCCTTCCGAGTAGCACATCAGACCACAGCTGAATGTTGGATGTTAGTTAAATTGTGTTGCCGGTTAGTGTGATTTCCCAACTCGTACGGATGATGGACTGAGGAAGCTTCAAGCCATTTTTGATTGGATTTGGATACCTGACCTGTAAATGATGATTCATCTTGGACGCCGCTGGTAAATTGTTTTGATCCATGTAAGCGTGTAAGTGCCAAGACAATGCGGTTGGGAGTTAGAGACAAATTGGCTTGGTTTAGGTACTTGAGACCAAAGTTTCTTCAACGGATGACTCTTTTTAGCTGCAAAACGCACGGCATTTCAGCTTGAGAATCGTTTTCCATATGCTTGCCAGTTCTATGCCTTATGATCTTTTGAACATTGATCCTTAGTGATTTGCACTGTCTGAGCTATCAGCCACTTTGGCTTAAACCCAAAACTTCAACATTTTTTGAGTGTATATTGCTCCATATCTAGTGCATGTCGCACAATTAATAACTCCCTCAGGATCACTTAAAATTCACCCACGTTTCATGATAGCGTTTTTGTTTCTATCATGTGTGTGTAAATTTCTCTAGTCGTCTGTACCACATAGACACTAGTGCAGTTGTTGCATTGATTTTTTTTAGACATGGTTCCTGGTTCCATTCCCCAGGGAGCGATCTTTCAACTGCGTCAGAACACATCACAGGGAGCTTTCATTCAGAAACGCAGTGTAGGAAATCTCTGAATGATTTTGATTGTCCCAGATTATTACGGAATAACGACATTACCAATTCATTCTCTTGGATTTTCCTCACGGGTTATAATATCTTCTTAATCGATGCTCAGTCAAAATAGCTGAATATTTGCTACCTCAGAGTTTGTTCTTTTGTTCACCGTCCAACCAATTTTTGTTGTATACGTGGTGCTTTCTCAGCCTCACATTGGTGGAGCAACAGCAAGAAACAGGAATGTAGAATGAAAACGCGAGTAGTTTCTAGGGTCAATTAATTCCTGATAGACTAGTTTTTAGTTCCGCACTGACATTGGGTGCTCTGCAGTCAATGAAAGGCAGTGAATTCGAAGTTGAATGCATCGCCGTACTGAATTTTGCCTTAAACGGGATATCAAGTATCTAAAGCCGATCTAAAATGATTTAAAACCCCCCAAACCGTCAGCCCTAAGATTTAGGCGACTGCGCCAATTGGCAAGACCATCCAAACAATATTTAACACTTAACCGGAGTGCCAAACAAAAGAGCTCTTCTGCTTGGTTCTCTGCCTGCCTTAAAATTGCGGCAATTTGGTGACATACTCACTTGGCCTGAAGGAGCTTTCATATCAAAAACGAAACACTGTCCAGTTATAAAACCACCTGCTTTTTAGCAAACCATTCTGAAACGTTAGCAGACATCTGTCATTATATTTTTGCTCTGGCAAGTAAACTTCCATGACCTTAGTTTTGTATGCAATGGAGCTATATGACAGACAGCTATATGACATCTCTCTGTGAACTTCTGCAGACTAGCTAAACAAAGAATATAAAGGCAGTAGGTCCATTGGTATATTTTTCAAACTATGGGGCTTCTGAGATGAAGTCCTGTTGTTTTGCAGTGGTCGGCATGAATGCATGGGACGACAACACGTAAAAGAGAGGAGGCCGGAATATAACAAGTCCTTGCAAATGCAACCATACAGAATTAGTTCATCCGATTAGCCGCACTCCAATCTGATACACTTTTGGCTCGGATCCTCTTAAGTATAAAATCGGTTAATGGCTAATAACCTCGTCATTGGTAAAACTATCCATTAGTTAGAATATTTGCACTCCTGCGTGATTGGAGGTAAGCAGCAACTACTCACGTTCTTATTTACTGTTTGCCGGAAAATTGTCATCATTAGACTTGACACGCCTCATGAAGAAATCCAAGCGATGTTAGATTGTTACTACTGGGTAGTCGCATAAGAGATTTTGCACTCTCTTCCAGGTTAGTTCTGTAGAATATACATTAAGCGTTTCGGTCCTAAAAGCAAAGCTCACCGCGGATACTCGAGTGAAATTTATGGGTGCAATTATGAATAACCCCACTTGGCTCTGATTGTTACGGACTCGGTTAGTTCAAAACTTGAGACTGCCAAAACCTCTGACGAATAACAGTTTGATATCGTACACACCAGTGCCAGAAATAATAAAACTCCCCTAGTATTTGTTACAAACTAACCGATGTGCGAATAGCGCACGACACCAAGCAACTATTCCGCACAGGTTACTCAATATGTTTTGTCCTGATAAATAGAACGATGAATGTTCAGTAGATGTAGTGAATCCTGTAACGACCCAAAATAAGATTTGATGAAGATATAAATTTCTTCATAATTGGTGAGTTGTATCTGTTAAACATCAAGACATCCAGTTTGCGGAACCCGAACTTATAATTCTATTTCAGACAGTATCTATGCGCGGACCGATGACCGGATGTTTTCAATTATGCCTTTACTTGATGACAATGCGCTCGGTCATATTGTGTCGATGGTTCTTTGTCGCAGTTATCCGAATAGAGCAGCCCGAGCTTGACCAGCAGGACCAAGTGCCCCGATAGTTAATTGCTTAAGTCACACTACCAACGATTTCAAATATTTGAGCTCGATATCAGAACATTGACGTACGACCTAATCAAACGCCTCAAATCAATTCATCATGTACGATATTGAGGCTTTTACTGTTTCATGGCAAATATTCATGAGAGAAGAACACTGTAAATGAAACGTTGGACATAGAGTCATAGTCAGCCGTTTGCATCCAAAAATCCTCTGTCTGATTCCTGTTCATTATTCCCGATAATATTTGTTCGGGTTGAACTTTTGTTCACATTTCGTGGTGTGCATTCCCATTTGTCGTTAGTCCCAGTCCTAGGTTATACCAGTATGCGTGCACTGCACTGCCTGTATTCTCGTGATTATTGTCGCACACACACGCTAGCCTTTCCTATTACAAAATGGACTTTGCTACGCTGGCGGGCACATCAAACGAACAAAAGTGCACGCATCCCCGTGACGAGCATAAATAGCGTCAGCGGCTCATTGTGCTGTTTGGGGAATTATCAACAACAAATTGAGCGATCCCATAGCAACAAACGTTCCAGGCGCAACGCCCACAATAGACAATGGTGGAAGCCCGCACAATACTTGCTTAGAAAAGTGTAGGAAATGCGGTAAAATTTCAAATGTAAAATTAAGCAGACTCGAGCTGAAGGTAAAGGGTCTTGTTTTGCACGAAATACTTGATTTTTCGTGTCGAAAAACAATCCGTTTATTTACGTATTCGTTTCGTGAGACACCAGGATTTACAGGTTCACATTTTATTATCTTGCTTTAATTAAGTATTCTACTCATTTTCCGCATTGCCTCATTAGCTATTTACAAAGAATGTAACAGTTTTGCGCGGTATTTGCCAACTCATCCAAAAGCCATAAAAACAGGGTAAATCTGGTACCTAAAAATTATGATTAATTTGGAAAAACTATGAGCAAAGTTGCATCGCATAATGCCCAGGACTGTTGCGCTACGATTTCTTATGATGCAATGTTAAACAATCTGGCATCTCTTGTAGTGGCTGGGTGGAAGTTATGTTTCCACTACAACAAAGGTTTGAATATGAAAGAAGAATAATGAGCCAGTCACATGCCACAAAAGCCTCTGTTTACTCACAGCCCGCGATTGTCAGCACCTGTTGATCAGCACTTACTGACCGCATTTTCCAGGTGGACGCGATGATATTCAATTGTGTGGTTGCAGTTCTTTCACGAGTATTTAATCATCCCACTGGGTAGTTGGACTGAGCTACTCTTTTACTGCAGCGATGTTTCCGCAAATGTAACTTAGAACAACTCATGGAACAGATAAATATTTACCTTCTTCTTGCTTTTTATCTGTTAGTTCGGTGTGTACATGTTGCACCACAATGAGGTCTCGCAAATTAAATTTGAAGCGGATGCTCGGGCTGCCATGCTATTTGGTGTTGATATTCTTGCGAATACTGTTGCTGTAAAGATGGGGCTGAATCTTATTTTTGAGAGCTGGTGGGAATCTATAAAGGAAACAAAGGATGTCAACGTTGCTAAGGGAACTGAACCGAAAGACAGATTTCAGAATATTGGGGACAAATTGGTTCAGGGCGTTGCTGTCAACAAAAATGAAGAAGCCGGTGACGACACTCCCACTACTACCGTATTAGCTAGAGTGATCGCTAATGTAGGATTCGAGAAGATTAGCAAGGTGAATAACCCGATCGAGTTTCGGAGAGGCGTTATGACCGCAGTTGACGCTGCGGTCGCCGAGCCGAAACGTCTATTAAAGCCCATCCCGACTCCCAAAGAGGCAGTCCATGTAGCAACTATCTCTACGAACGGCGGTATTGGCATTGTGGAGTTCATCTCTTCTGAAATGAAGCGTGAGGGGCTGATGGCACCATAAAGGTGAAGGATTGCAAAACATCGAATGACGAACCGGAGTTTATCAAGGTTTATCAGTTAAGAATGTCTTGTTGGCCACCCGATGGGACGACGTTTGGTTTGAACACCTTTTTCGAAGTCTCAGCTGAATCCCAGCTAAATTTCTGGTTGATAACATTCTACAGCTGCATGTTCTGCACACAATCCGTCTAATATTGGAGATAGCGCAGTATCTTATTTCTTTCATTTCGTTCTTGTGATGCTAGTCGCCAAATTCTGCAACTTATGTAAAATTCGGATTCTTTATTTTGATTAAATTGTGTCAAGATCACCGTATTTACTCTAGGACACAATACAAATTAAACAACACAGTATTGCCAGAAAAGGCTGATTCATTACTGCATTTAAATGGATGTGGACAGTGTGACTAAATACCATCGAGAGTTCTCGTAGGGTGTATCTATCCGCCTCGGGAACACATGGCTACAAAAGAAGCAATCGAATTAACATGTGATACACTGCTACCACACTATTGTTATGAAAACACAGACAGCAACGTCCATGTTTGAAAATTTCGGTTGGTAAAATTTTGCTTTTCTGTTTCCTGTGTAAGATGGTTTACCTGATCGAATCGTGTTGGCTTCGGCTTCTTTGAGTGTTTGCTGGTAAACAGTCTTTAATCCATTCTCTGATGCACGGTAGAATAACGGTTTATCTTCCTTGGTCGGGACAAATAGTCTACAAACTTTACACAATTGAACCTAGTCGCATCTCAGTTTAACCGTCGTGGTGCGTGGTGAGTGATACGTAGGTATACTAAAAACAACTCTCAAATTCACTATCTAATTAGTATGGAGAGGACTGCGCATGGATATGACAGCCATCGTAAATTTGTAAACGCCTGCAAAGGTGTCACGCAAATCCTGGATAAACGCACCAGGTACTGTTAGTAAACGGTTGTTGTCGTACAAGTATTTTCCGTGAATAAATATGATGCTCATGAGTAAGCGTCTAAATATGAGAAATGCAGTTGTGTTATGAATGTGTTTGGTAGACTTATGTATGATACCCTCAATTTCACATCTCACTATGGTCAAACTACTTGCTTTTGAACGTTTAATTTTCCACATCTACCAGTTTTTGGTATGTGGAACTGTACAGCCTGGGTGATAGTTCAATCTTTCACAATTCTAATACAACCGCCAGAAAATACGAAAAATCCTCGTTACTTTTTTTGGCAGAAAGTTAGTAGGAAACAGGAAACTCGCAAAAATGCACAAATCTTGTTTTGTCAAGTCAATCTCAATTGATGGACAAGTAAAGTTCAATGGAAAAACTAAGAAATCTGCTAACGTTCCGCCAAGCACTGTTGCTAAAGAAAGCCGAACCCACGCTACCAGTTCTTAGAAATGGTTCACTGATCACTGATTCTGATAGGTAAACATAGTAAACAGCGTATAAACAAGTGTCACTCTCCTAAAGACAGCTTTTACTAACAAGTACAGGTTGTTCAGAGGCCCTACGCTCATATCATCTACCGTTCTTCAGAACTGCACGTGGACAGTATATTTTTCACTCTTTCAAATTGGAAAGAATTAAACAATTTGTGCCTGTGCCCTCCAATAATAAATTACCATGAATTATTGCAACCCAAATACCTTGGGTCTAATTTACCCTCTTATCAGCACAGACGGATTACGTAAAAATATTTTCAAACCTGCCTTTTGGGTTTGTTTTTTTACTTTGAACCGTGAAGCTCATTTCACCTTCTAACCCGGCGTTTTTTGTGCCACGCACAGTTAAGATCCGTCTGTCTGATTGGAGTTCAGCCTTTTCTAGGTAGCGATTAGGTTTCATCGTAATGCAAGTGAGCTGGATGAAGGTACCTACTGGAAAACAGTTGTTCTTCCAACGTCTACAGCCTGTCGTCGAAATCAGCCAACTGCTCACCATGCGGTAACAGTGTAACCGAAAATATTGAATTAACTATAAATGACCCACGAGTTGCAACCGTTTTCTCGTGACGATGTACCTAATTCAAAAAACATTGTCGCCACTTGAGAGCTAGCAGAACATTATATTTTAGCAAAAGTAACCTCCATAATCACTGCCAAATGTTGGCCTAAAGTAGGTCTTTTACCATCAATCTTAGTACTAATTTCAGATGGTTATGCTAGTCGTTACAATGCCATATTTCTGCAAAATCATCTGGAGGTCAACGAAAATTTAAACCGAACGATAGATAAACAAGCGCGGTGAAATCGCCACTTTTGATGACGCCATACTATATCTGGGTTTTATGAGAACATCCTTTGGTGACATACTTTTACCACAGTTCTTCCATTTTCCGTAAGCAGACGTTTTTACACCGCTAGGAAGAGGCATGTATAGCAGCAAATTGCGTGACCAGTTAAATAGGATGGGTGTCCTTTTTCCTCATCCTACAGTCAATTACTTTTACGCCATTCAGTGAGTGGAAACCATTCTTTAGGACGATGAGTTCTATAATCATACCATGCTAAATATTCAGTTTCCCTGTTTTGTGGTGCTCTTATAATGTAACAGCTTCGCTGTTGCTGTATGTTAGTTACCACCGCATGTAGGGAAAATTCATATTCAGGTTGCCGAAATTGGTTGAGTCAGACAATGTGCATTCCACGACCAATCCTCTTTTAACGGACAATAAGTATGGATCATACGAACGGATCATATATGAACCGAGAGAGTAAACACGTAGGTGGTTGGGCAGTTGACAGCTGCGAATGTGCCAAATGTTTGTCACGTTTGTTGCGGTGAGGAAAGAATAATTTTTGAATTCCAGTCACGTATTCTCAATGAGCGTGTTGTCCTACAATCAGTTCGTGTTTGAATGTCACAGCCTATTAGAGACCAGCACAGTTTGTGCATTTGCTTGCATATCTGTTCACTTATTCTCCAGCTATTCTTGCCGGTAGCACAGAAGTTGACGTCGAGGGACACTGAACTCCTTCGATCACTAAAGATCGTGGGCTGTATCATGAATTAATCAAGTAATTTTGAGTGGTGCGCAAATCAGGTAGATGTATTTAGGGAGAAAAGTGGTTGCGACCTTGTAAGATAACAAAGTGGCGCCTATAGCTCCATCAAGACATCTCCCAAGAAATGATGTTGCTCCTGAAAGAATAGTTATTTAAGGTGTGCTGCAGAAAAATACACGCACTGTCTGCTGCCTTAAATGCGTCCAGCAGACGATCAAACAGGAGGGGGTGATTTTGTATGAACTACTTTCTTTTCAAGCCGTGATGTCGAAAATTTGAAACATTTGTGCTTAAATTTGTGTTCATTCACTGTCAATCTTACAGAGGAATTTTGTTTTCGTTTTCCATGTGAGAAGCACCAAGTACCAAGTTCATTGAAAAACTGAAATATATGGAGGAAAACTACGTGTAACCGGAAAAGATGACAGGTGGGAAATTAAACTGCAAGACACATGGGTGGAATTCATCCCTTTTGTTCACAGTAAGACTGTGGGACGCTTTTTTGTATATTGGTAATAAGTCTTACAAAAGAGCTTAGCGAAGGATTACGTTGATTTCCTGTAGAAGACTCCGGTATATGCTCCAACATCCCAAACGCCGGCAATGGTTTCTGGAATATATTTGTTTGAACTTTGATTGAGTGAACATTCTGAAGTCGACATAGGAGCAGGAGCTTCATAAATGAATCGAAGAATATTTGGAGAAAGTTTCTCAAAGTTTGTTAAAATTTGGGAAGAGCTCTTCTCTCCTGCGACCATAATTTATATTCCTGCTATATGAAAGGCGTGGCGACTACCTGCCGGGGATAGAGTGACTTTCAGTTTTTTATGGGTAACAAACAGATTTCTTGAAAATTCTTTGACAGCTCACTTCCGATTGCGCTCTTCTCGGGACTCATCAGATGGGTGCAATCTTCGAGTTCCCATTAATCTTATGCCCTGCTCAAACACGAAGTGTACGAAGTTCGAGAAGTACGGCGATCTGTGGATGAATATTTGAAACTAGAGATTCGGCTTAGATTCAGTTAAGTCTCCTGTGAAAACCAAATTGGTATGCAGATAAGTGTATTTGTCGGATTTTCGTTTTTTTCTATAAATTACTACTGAGCACCATAGATGCTATGCGAAATATATTTACCTGTTTCAAATCTCGTATTGAAGACTCATTGATGCGGTTGTCTATTACTGTGTTTTTGTATCTTTCCTGTTCTGAAATTAGAGTTCGTTTTATTGGAGTTCATCTCATCAATCACCTTTGCTTCTCAGACAGCAACTGGCAGGTTTGATAACAAGTGGCTTGTCTGATTGTAGGGAGAGGAAAAAGTTGTTCCTCACACGTAGTTTTAATTCCTGCAAGGCGCAAAACAATCAGCATACATAATTCATGATTACATCTGCGTGCGCTTTTCTGCAAACCGGATTGGTCAGTTTGACGTTGGTTAACTTTGAAGGCATTCTTACACAAGTATTGTTCTTTTTATGACTCTTCCATGAAAATATTGGATCTTTGTCTAACTGGACCTAAAAATATTTTGTTTTGAGAACCCATTTTGGAAAAACCCAATTAGGTTTTTAAAAAGCACAATGCAGGATCAAATGTTAATGCAAATACTGTTGATCAAAGGATATATGATAGAGCAGATTACAGCCATAAATCATTACGTTCCACCCCATATGTTTCTTTGGGTTGGTTTAGAAAATACCTACTTGCCCTAGCTTTTCAGTCAGGGCCATAACTGGTCGGTTCTTTCCGCAAAGTAGCCATTTTGGTTTCCGATCACTCCTAAAAAATAGGCACACCTGATCCTGTTTTTTGTTACCACATTCGAGTGGAAAAACTGACAGTTGTGTCCAAAAAATAGTTGCAAGAGGCTGAAATGTAATCATTTGTTCACTTGGAAAAAATAATTTAGTTCAATGGAATAGCTAAAAACCCATGATTTCCTTTTACGTTTCAGCTAGAACCCGTTGTAAGAAAGAGATTTGCCAATCAAATCGTCAAGCAA